TAGTCTATAGTCTAGTCTATAGTCTAGTCTATAGTCTAGTCTATAGTCTAGTCTATAGTCTAGTCTATAGTCTAGTCTATAGTCTAGTCTATAGTCTAGTCTATAGTCTAGTCTATAGTCTAGTCTATAGTCTAGTCTATAGTCTAGTCTATAGTCTAGTCTATAGTCTAGTCTATAGTCTAGTCTATAGTCTAGTCTATAGTCTAGTCTATAGTCTAGTCTATAGTCTAGTCTATAGTCTAGTCTATAGTCTAGTCTATAGTCTAGTCTATAGTCTATAGTCTATAGTCTAGTCTATAGTCTAGTCTATAGTCTAGTCTATAGTCTAGTCTATAGTCTAGTCTATAGTCTAGTCTATAGTCTAGTCTATAGTCTAGTCTATAGTCTAGTCTATAGTCTATAGTCTAGTCTATAGTCTATAGTCTAGTCTATAGTCTAGTCTATAGTCTAGTCTATAGTCTAGTCTAGTCTAGTCTATAGTCTAGTCTATAGTCTAGTCTATAGTCTAGTCTATAGTCAAGTCTATAGTCTAGTCTATAGTCTAGTCTATAGTCTAGTCTATAGTCTAGTCTATAGTCTATTTTTTGAAGTGATATATCTCGAGATCTATATATCTTATTGGCTTGAAATTTGGACTATGCCTTCAGAGTAATGTTTTCTATACATTTTCCAAGAATTAGTTAGATATATATATCAAACCGAATTATGACCGATTTTCTATTTTTACCTCGTGTATCAATACTCAACATACCCCGGTGTGTATACAAATTATATGTCAGTTATCGGACAGAAACTAAGTTTCATTATAAATTTTATGTTTTATTATTAGAATTATATATATTCTTGTATCTTATCAAAATAAATTTTACTAAACAAAAAATTTCGTTTCAAATACAGAGTCATGTGTCTTTATTCATAAATTTAAATGTGATATATTTGTGGATCATGTAACATTAACAAATATGGGCCGATTTTGATGAAATAATTTTTTTTATTGTATATGACTTAGTAAAGTAAAATTATGCTGATTATAATAATTTTATTCTCATATAAACAAAAATATTTAAGTTTAAATTTTAAAATTTTTATTTTTGACCATGACTTTATTGCAAAAAAGTTCCCTACTTACGAAAGCAAAAACAATTTCTTTAATGCTAATCGATTTTATACACCTTAATAAATAATATATAAAAAGTTTTGTTCAATTATCTTTCCCGGTCACTGAGTAATATCTACTTAAAGTCAAAATTTTACAAAGTCAAATTCTGCATAATGTACATTATACGTTATGAAGGCGTTTTTCTTTAGGTTTTTTGCATATGATATTTTTGTTAATAGGAAAGCAATAAGAAAACTTTAACAAAAATTGCTAAAATTTAATGGTTTATGATCAAAAACTATTTAATTTATATATACAGACGTTTTATTAAATTAGTTTTAATAATTATCTGAATTATACACTAGAAATGTATAAAAAGATGAAATAGCCATATAAATTGTATGACATACCCGGGTATGTTGGGTATTGATGTACGTAATTTTGCTCGGGTATAGACTAGACAGTTAAACAGCTTAAAATCGATATTTAAAGCCGCATAACATCACTTTGAAACTTTGAGGCATACAACTTTGGCTATAAACTGTTACTTAGCATTTAGCACATATAATTATGAAATACTCAGTAATAAATTAAAATATTTAACTTATTAATTAAATAAATCGTATAAAATCGTTAGTAATATTAAAAAATAATAAATAAAATAACGTGGAATATTTATAGTGTTTGTTGCATTTTCAAAGACACCATGTAAATTTACATTTTTAACCTTAAGACAGCTGACTTGAAAGCGGAAATAATTGTAACAGCCGTTGATTTTTTTAACGTTGTAATTTAGCTTGATGTTGTACTTAATGTTTGTTTCTTTATTTGTAAACTTTGCAATACAATCACCATAAATATGTATAAAAAAGAGCTTAACAAAACTTTTGCATTACCAATCAAAATAATCCCAATTGAATATTCGAAATATTGAAAATCAACAACTAATCAATGGGGTCAGTCAGCACAAATCACCACCACTCATCGTACGAATAACTATTGTAAAACTATCCGTATAAAATAAAAATATTACATACAAACATATACAGAAAATATGACCCCCATCATCATACTTTTGTAACGATTTGGACAAATATTGCAAAATATTGCTGATGTCCATTATTTACTAAATAGTATTTTAAACATGTGTATTATACTTGTTATACGTTGCGGTATAAAAAACCAAATACAAACAGTTAAGTTTAATTTTGCTTTTAGATTTACAAAAGTATATTTAATTAAACGCTTACTTAGGGAAAATATTAACCCAGTTTATTATTGGTTAATTTGTTGGGTGGTTTTAAACTTCTTGTTTTATTATAAAAAAAAAAAAAACAAAACAAACTTCTGGAGTATTGTTTATTCAACGTAATACTTAATTGCAATTAATAAATATGTATTTATTATTACACTTAAAAGTCAATGACCTTTTCAGCAAGTAAAAGTTGTGTAAAATTGAATGGTTATTTTAATGAAATTAAAAATTTTACCTTTTTTTAATTTCAGTTAAAATTATATGTAAAGCTATGGTCAGTCCAGTTTAAGAACTATTTGTATTGTTAAGCAAGTGAATTATACAATTAAATCATATTTTATTTCTGAAATATTAAAATTTTATCAATAACTACTTAAATTTTTCCAAATTCTATTTTGTTGATATGTATAACATTTAAGGTAGAGGGAGGAACAAATCAAAGATAAAAATTGCTAAATACATTTATATAGCATCCTAATTGAAACCAAAAATATAACAAAATTATTATTAGAACCTGCATTGTGGACTAAGTTTAGATAAATAAAAATGGGCTGTTACAAAGGAAAGGAATCTCGTGATCATGACAAAGCAGAAAAAAAAACAAGACAAATAAATGAACAAAAAAAAATTTAACTATGAAAAATCGAATTTCACCACTTATTACTGTGACAAACCTTGACTTGAGGGTTTTCATTCAAATAAAAAGAAAATTAGTACAATTTTGCAGGTTTTGTAAACCGTTAGTAGTATCTAAAAAAATTAAAAAAAAAAAATAACGGAAAAGATCTTTTTATTTCTTTATTTGTCCAAATTATATTCTAACCGAATTTAACAAGCAGGGTGACGATGACTATACGCCCGTTGTAGTGTAGCAGACTAGAGTCTCTGGTGGGAATCGAACCCACAACCCCCAAACTGACAGGCTAGCACACTGAATGCACATTAAACATAAATTGTGTGAAATATTTTTTAAATTTTAAAAAATATTTAAATATTTCGGGTTTTCATATAAACGTTCAAAGGCATCCCAAACCGTACATTTTCGATTTTACATTGACTTTGTCACAAATTGTATGGGACTTTACTCCCACAAAACTGATACATTTGATAACCTATTTAAACTGATCATTTTAAACTAAATTTTCTCTTCTAAATAATACAGATAACCATTTGTGCAAGTTTGAACGTGTTTCATGAATCCACTTATTATTTTCGATTTGGAGTTGTGCAAAATGTATCTAATTATACAAGTTCTAAGATTTATTAGATCTTATTCATTAATCATATATCAAAGGCTTATAGACCATTCAAAAAGAAGAAGATTGATCGGAATCATCATATCGCTCATTTACTACAATACTGGTATAATGTTTAATGACATTTTACTATTTTTCAAATAACTTTTAATGAAGTCAGGGGATTTTAAAAATTAAACCAGATTCAGATAGTGTTTCTCATCTAATTAGAAGTTAAATTTGTATTTACATTCCTAATATACATGGAAACATGAGTTTTAGTTTTTATACCCTACACCACTTTAGTGGGGAGGGTATATTGGATTTGTGCTGATGTTTGTAACATATAAAAAGTATACCAATCGGCTTAGAATCATTTTCTGAGTCGATTAAGCTATGTCCGTCCGTCCGTCCGTCCGTCTGGCTGGCTGGCTGGCTGGCTGTCCATGTAAACCTTGTGCGCAAGCTACAGGTCGCAATTTTCAAGATAATTGGATGAAATTTGGCACGCACGTTTTATTTGACCCAAGGACGAAGCCTATTGAAAATGGTTAAAATCGGTCCATTATTTCACCTAGCCCCCATAGAAAAGGGCTTCTGAGCTCATAATTATGTTAAATATACAGATATATCGATAAAATACGGCATAACTAAGTTTTATAGAAGTCTTGATAACCCTGCCAAATTTCATAAAGAGCGGGCCCCATTTGACCCTAGCTCCCATACAAAGTCCCCTTCAGAAAATAACTTGAATGTCCCAAATTAACTTATAAACACAAATATCGCGATGAAATTCAGCACAATAAAATATTATGTAAATATAAATATATTCACAAAATTTTATCGGGCTTGGTCCATATTTGCCCTAGCCCCCATATAAAGCTTCTTTCAGAAAATTAGTTTTTCATCCATAAATTGCTTAAATGTATCGGAACAAGGGAATATTGAAGATAAATGCGATATTATGAAAAATAAATCACATTTAATATTCATAACTGGTGTAGGGTATCATATGGTCGGCCACGCCCGACTATACTTTCTTACTTGTTACTATTACAACAAATAATTGGTCTCACACCGAAAATATTTGAAATTTGTTAAAATTATGTATGTGTACGAAAGACTTTAGTAGTACGCATGTTTTCGAGTCCCCAGTTCAAAAAACTCAAATTTCGGATCATATCAATCTTATAGTAAATGACCGATAAATGAGAATAAAATTCACCAACTTTCTGACACCCAAGATTAACTGCATCAATATAAAGGTTAGTAACAAAAAAAACATTTTCAAAATGAAGATATTTAATAAATTTTATATTTAATTTGAATTCAACAAAACAAAAAAATCTTCTTCAGTTCTTAAATTTATTAAAGTTTAAAATATTTAATTTAATTCAATAATTGAACATACCTCTTGCAACTCATTGAAATCCTTAATATATAAAAAGCATGATGTGCGAATCAAATACAATTTGAAATAAAATTAGTGTTGACAACCTCTTGTGTTTTGCTGTTTCTGTGTTGCCAACAGAATCAGTTTTCAGTTGTCAGGTATCAAAGAAATTGTCGTGATTTTGTTTTTTATTTGGAGGAGTGAGTGTTTGAATTATTATTATTTTTTATAAGATATTTTATTAATCCACTTAAATCACTGGTTTTATTGAAATGATTATTAATAAGATTTCATACTTGTATTGTTGTAAACAATATTTTTGGTTTGGTTAGTTGTTGTAATTTTCTTTCATTTTTTCAATTTCAATTTTCATTTTATTGTATTGAATAATTTCACATTTTATTTTCATTATGTATATTCATACATCAAAACAAACACACAGAGTGAGTGAGTGAACGTATACGGTACGATCGTATACTCCTTCCTACCGTTGACCCCGGTTTTTTATATATTTTTTATTATTGTTGTTGTATTGATATCGCGTGCAATCTTACGTTTATTGACCTTGGTATGAGAGCAAGTATGATGTATCAATGAACGAACGAACAAACGAACGTAATCATAATTATCATCGTCGTAATCATTGCTTGTATAAAAAAAACAAAAACAACGGGCAAGTTTCGTTGCAGCTAAACTCGTCTGGTTTCGTGTTGTTTGATCGCTTGCAGTTGAAATGCAAAAACAAAAAGTAAAGCAACAACAACACTATTGCTATAACAAACTCTACTGTAAAATATCCGTGTTTGATCTAATGCAAGTTGCAGTGATAGTTGGTAGAGTGTGTAAAAAAGTTGTGTGGTGTTGGATTGACGTTGGCTTGAGTTGTTGGATGGATGTTTGTTGGTTGGTTGCTTGATTTGTTATTATTTTTTTTTATTTGGGGATAACGTAACTTTTTACAATTACCGCATACTGCCCAAAAATAAATCGACTATTTGTTGCAAAATTTCACAAATATCATTCATTCATTTATGTTAAAAAATCTAAATACCGATTAAACGAAATAGTTAATTTTGAGCAATAAATTGGCGAAAAAATGTTTCCCCAAAAAATTTAAGACTCACTTTTTTATAATTTGTGTTATTTTAAAATTATTTTTTATTAAAAAAACCTTGAAATTTTAATCATTTTCTATATAAAAAATATCACTACATTTGCTATTCACAGACTTTTAAATATTTTTTATTTGGTAATAAGGCAGTTAAGAGAGGATTTAAGGCAGATTTTTTAGAAATAAGTTTAAGGTTATTTTGTTTATTTTTTATTATATTTGGCCTTTAAAGTAAATTTTCATAAATTCGTGATTTTACTTTATGTTTGTTTTATTTTCTTTTTTTTTTTTCTTCAAAAATCACTAACGGCTTAAAACCCGAAAAAATGTCAAAACGCGTTTAAATGTCCGCTAAACGAGTAGGCAACTCGCCTAATATTTTCAAAATTGTCCACTTCACTTGTACAATTCAAAAAAGTTTTCTTCAAAATAAAACCGAAAATTACGCTTTTAAACAAACTTGGCGCCTTTGCCGATTCAAAGAAGACGTACAAAAAATTAAACAGACGTCGTTCTTTTAAAATTGCATTTGTTTTCAAACACACTTTACACGTTTTGCTCAAGTTATTGTACAACCGTTCGATACAATAGTCCGATATAGACTAAACATGAAATGTTGAAAATTGCTCACAATGAGCTCCCCACATCTACATCCACAAAGCAAACCACATCATCAAGTTCATAAAAATCATTATTACGTAGTAAACCAACTACGGGAGCACTTTTTCTCCAAATGTTTATTTTATTATTTTTTAATCTCTTTTATTCTTCGCATGCTTTTTATTCTCTCAGCCCCAAATATATTCGTTATGTACAAACAGCCCCAACAAGTCAATTTTGTGCTTTATGCATATTCTGTTGGTGTTTTTTTTTTTTTATTTCATAAATTTCATGTTTTTATATGCAAGTTTTTATTTTTATGGAAATAATTTCAGACTAAATAGGTATAAAGGGCCCCTGGCAACACATAACATAAAATTTACTACCCAATTACGTAAATTTCAATTATAAATTCGAAATAGAAACCAAAACTTAAAAAATATTCACAAACCACAATTTCCACAGTTTCCGATTTTTGCTGTTTAGCGTATCAGACTAACGGAAGTTCTGAAAAAATTGACAACACTGATTGGGGAGCTCATCCCTCTCTTGCTTAATTTAAAGCTCTTTTATATTAAAAGCTTATTCTCTTAAGTTTTTCCTCCAACTTATATGCTCAACAGTATATGCTCATCATAAATTTGTTTAATACATATTTTTGATTTTGAGTACAATATTTTTAAATTTTGTTTATATCAAGGAATTATGTACATATTTATCGACATCTCAGGCTCCAAAAACGTCAAACATCTCAGCGTAACAATAAAAATAACTGTTCTTTTCTTCTACTTTTGAATTTAAATGTTAAATTTGGAAAGTCCTTTTTCTATTTCATATTAAAAAACACAAATTGTTCACTTTCTTGAAAACTGTGAGCTACAAAATATCCGCATTACTAAATTCATTCAATAATTCCTTGTGGTAAGTAAGTATTGGTAATTCTAACTAAAATGCAGGCCAAAAATCTAAAAAATAACAAATCGAGGCCCTCTAAGGATGATTGGGAAAATTGTGAACCGAATTCTGAGTTACTGATGTTTTCGTATAAACTTTAGTGTATATGGTATCATTTGAACTAGTGGGCGTAGCACTACAAAAATATTTACGAGTAACTGTAGTATCAATATAAATATTTAGGACAGAAATGGGCGTACGAGCAATACTGGACGTGGCACCTCTCATATGAACTACAGTTAAACCTTCCGCGAGTAATGTGAAACTGGCAACGTCAACTGACATCTTTCGTAAGCCGATTTTGAACAATTTATTTATTTTTTTTATTTTTATTCATTTATTTTGTAATATTAAGCCTTCGCGGCCAAAAATAACAATATTACATAGTAATAATAAAAACCTGAGATCAATAAGTAGTAATACATATAATTAAATATAATTCAGTATTAAACAGATGATTAATCCTCCCCAGCCGTAAATAATACATATATTAATAATTAATTTAAAATTAAATGCAAATAAAAAGTCTCAATCAGCAACAAAACATATACATATCAATATATAATACACTAGGTGGCATCCTGGCATATCAATAATAATGTCAAACATTTTGACATTTATATGTACATATACATTTTATTATTTCCTTCTAACTTCCCTGTATCCGGTTGCGAATACAAAACATAATGTGATTGAAATAAGAAAAAAAAAATATAAAAACAAGTTAGATTGCTATATTCGGCTATGCCGAATCTTAAATACCCTCCACCAGCAAACTACTTTCTATTGAAACCCATCTAACTATATAATTTTTAGATAACTTGCCAAAATATTTGTCGAACTAATTTTGATTAGTTCTAGCAAAATGTATATTAATACGCCAGTTCGAAAACATTTTAATAGAATGATGTATCTATACACAGAATATGGGAGTTGTGACCAATTATGGACTGATCAGGAAACAATTTCGTATAATGATTTATATGCAGAAAAAGATCAGGTCTAATTTTACTCCAATAGCTTTATTAATCAATGAAATATGTGCGTTTAGGTGACTTTAGGAAGTGGACTTTATATAGGAGCTATGAGCAATTAAGGGCCTATCCGGAAAAATTTCGCAGAGTGATTCATATGTGCACAAATCATATTTTATCAAGATATCTTTATTTGATAATTAAATATGTGCGTTTAAGGGACCTATTACCAAATATGGACCGATCCAGAAAAAATTTGGTACAATGTTTTATATGCCTATCCGCAAAAAATTTTGTAGAGTAATTTATGTAAAGACAAAACATATTTGTGTCGAATTTTCTCAAATTAACTTTATTTGACAATGAAATATGTGTGTTTAAGTGACTCTCAGAAGTGGACCTTATATAGAAGCTATGACCAATAATGGACCGATCCGAGAAAAAAGTGGTAGAATGATTCATATGTACACAAAACTTATTCAAGTCGAATTTTATCCCGATAGCTTTAGAATTCAATGAAAATATGCTTGTAACTGATTTGGACCTTATATGGGAACTATGACCAATTATGGGTCTATTCGGAAAAAATTTCATAGAGTCATTCATGTTTAGGTAAAACATATTTGTGTCGAATTTTATCAATACAGCTTTACTTGGCATTGAAATATGTGCTTTTAAGTGATTTTCGGAAGTGGGCCTTATATGGGATCTATGACCAATTATGGACTGATCCGTAAAAAATTTTGTAGAATGATTTGTATGTATACAAAACAGATTTGTGTCGAATTTTACCCTGATAGCTTTATAATTCAATGAAATATATGCGTTTAAGTGATTTTCGGAAGTGGACCTTATATGGGAGCTATGACCAATTATGGGCCTATCCGGAAAAAATTTCGTAGAGTGATTTATATTTCGACTAAACATATTTGTGTCGAATTTCATCAAAATAGCTTTAGTTGGCAATGAAATATGAGCTTTTAAATGATTTTCGGAAGTGGGCTTTATATGGGAGATATGACCAATAATGGACCGATCCGTAAAAAATTTTGTAGAATGATTTGTATTTACACAAAACATATCCAACTCGAATTTTATCACAATAGCTTTATTCATTAATGAAATATGTTCGTTTAGGTGATTTTCGGAATAGGACCTTATATGGGAGCTATGACCAATTGTGGACCGACTGAGATCTACGTTGAGAGTATGATTTCTGTTCATATTGTATTTACATGTACAAAATTTCGTGTTGATAGCGATATATTTGAAGGAGTTATTAACGAAAATCTAATTTCCGGGAATATATACCTTTGTATGGGGGCTATTAGAAATATTGGATCTATTGTAAAGATTTTGAATATAATTGATCACTACTCTGAAAAAATAACGTATGACAAAATTCATTGAAATATCTTTGGTAGTTTCTGAGAAAACTTCAAAAGAATTATGAAAAAAACGTAATTTTTTTCGAGGTAGTCTGAAATTTTTACTCATAACTTCTTACGTTGTGAACCGATTTTGCTGATTTTCAATACCAAACTGCTTAGGATAATAATAAATATTTTGGGTGAATTTGGTTTATTTCCTTTGCTTAGTTTTAACGTGAGCGTGTTTTACACAGACAGACAGACAGACGGACATAGCTAAATCGACTCAGAATTTGATAAGGACCCAGAATATATATACTTTGTTGGGTCTTAGATGAATATTTCTTGGTGTTACACACGGAACGACAAACTTATATATACCCTCTATCACCACTGATGGTGGTGGAGGGTATAATAAAATAAAATGTTCGTGTCGAATATAAAATTCTGTGGCAAAAAAGAAAAAAGTACATATCTCAAGTTATTCAAAAGTCATCTGCTTCAAATCGATGTACCCAAGTCAACATCCTGTAAATTTCTATAAAAATCAGATCTTTAGAACTTTATTTAGTGAACTATATAGTTTTGTATTGAAATTAAAAGTTTAAAACATTCTCCTGAAAAAACACTTTTGTCTTTTTTCCACAGAGTAATCGCTACAGATTAATTAAACTTTAACAAAATTATTGAAAATGAGGTTTAGTATTTAAAATAATTTTTCGGTTTTTGTCAGTGTTGTATTTTATTTAAACCATGATACAACCATATTTTTATTATGATTTAAACGAAATACGTTATTTGATTGTGAAAAAAGACGTAATGAAAAAGGTAATATATTCCACTATCTTGCAATTCTAATCACATAAGATCTTTCAAAAAAGGAAGAATTAATTCTCGGTATATAAATTTGTGGGTTTCTTAGTGATCGCGTAAATACAAAAGAATTATAAAGAGAAAGTGGCTTTCTACATTTGACAATATTATGAAACAGTATAATATTCCGGTATTTTACGAAATTATCAAAGGTACAACCAAGAAAACTATAAACAAAGCGTGAAACATGTTCGCGTCGCTTTAAATTATAAACAAAACGAACTACAGAATTAACCAAGCGTTTAATTCTGGATAAGTGTGCAGAACAAGTACCAGAAACAATTTCCAATCCATACAAAATCTGTGACATCAATAGTGAATGAGCTAATTTATACTTTATATGTGTAGGTAAATATAAATTAACTGAGTATATTCGGCGTAGGATACCCAGAATCCTAGAGCTGATGAGGTCAATGTGTGCGCAAAAAGAAAGCTTGGGATCTAAAATTAGACCAAGACACTTAAAATGGTCAATAAAGACCACATCCAAATTATCAAAGGTAATATTTAGATTAGGAAAAAACCGAGTTGTAGGACCAAACATAATGGCGTTAGTTTTAAAGGGATTCACAGTTAATGAATTACTAGAAGCCCATTGAAGGACACGTTCTAAGCTAAAATTAATGTTATTCTGCAAAACGTCTACAAAATCAATACTACTCCTAAAAAGCAAAAATATGTCATCAGCATATAGAAAATAATTTAATCACCTGACGGTATTTAAGAGTGGTAGTTTTCCACGGATGACCACTATCTGTTCCACGCTTTTTCTCAAGTGAAATCGTGATTCAAAGTGATTTACGCCAAATTATTCACTCAAAAGAGCGAACCAATATCCAGCATGGATTCTTATCCTCTAGAGGTTTAATAATAGTCCTTTTTTATTAGATGATAATTATTATAGTAATTAATTTGAAATACCTACAATAAGTTAGGGAAAAACTGGCGGACTAGCAATGATGTTCGAGGTACCTCCCCGGGGAAGTAAATATAAAAATTAGAATATCTGGAAAACTAAAACAGCTGTAGTCTTAATTTTTTTAAGAGGAAGGTATGTTTAGAATATGTAATTTGCAATTATATTATAATGGACAAATAAATAAAATTTAATTATTTATGAATAGATTAGTACATATAACGCAAAAAAAATCGTGTTTTAGGAAAATTGGCCTTTAAGCTCTTATTCGGCTCCATAATTCAATTATACATATATGTATGTAATTACTTTTACATTTTGAAACAAATTAAACTGTGCACATTAGAGTGTTCCGAGACCACTTTTTTGGAGGTATTATTATTATTTTTCCAAAATTATACTGAGATCAGGATTGATAGGGAACTGAGGACCGATCGAAAAAAAAGATTTTTTTATTTTTCTCGTGTTCTGTACATACACATCGATTGAGAGGTATTCCTACATGAAATTCCTAAAAAGGCTGTTCCTCGGGACACTCTAATGTACATCTCTCAGGATTTTAATTCGTATTTTTTAATTAACGCTTTTTTCCTTTTGTAACATTTTAATTTATCAACGTCATAAAGCAAAACTTTTTGTCGTTTATTGTGTATTCTTCGTTTCGTTTTCTCAATGTTTCGCTTCTTTGTTTTCAAAACAAATGGCTACAGCTGATCTAGAGGAATGCGTGAGAATAGACACGAAACAACTAACAACATACATATTTTGTTGTTGCTATTGAAAGTGCGTATTGATTTTTTAGTTGTAAAAAGTAAAATTCGTAAAAGAAAACTCAATATACTGAATACATACAATAAAAACAATATTAAATTGTAAGACGAACAAAAAGAAAACAGCTTAAATATGTTGATTAAACAAGTTTTTAAAGAATTTCCATGAAAATTACAATAAATGTAATTCAATTGTTTATTACGTTTTCGATTTTACAACAAGTGAATGAAAAACAAAACGAGAAGTGTTTTCTTTTTTTCATTGCCCAAAAAATTAGAATGTTGATCAATGACCCACATAGTTTGAGGAAAATAATTTGCTGGACTTGACCTAATTTATGGATAAAATTGTTATCAAAACCAGGAAATTGTTAAAAATATACTATTAGATACGTCTTGAAAGTGATACCAAAAGGGAGCAGCATTTTATTCGTTTATAATGGGAGGCTCTGTTAGTCAAATATTTCGTTCGGGCTCTGCCTTGTTATCACATCGTGATGGTCACAAGGTTTCAAAGGCTACTGAAGAAAAAATTAAAACTTTATTCGAAATTCTTCGAGCTAATCCCAAAATATCAATACAACCATTAGAGAGCTTACTCTTGGAAATTCCGAAGGTTTGTTGCATTGTTTATACATATGTATTTGCCTTAATTGGTTTGGTTTCGTTGTTTGTAATATTGATTTTTTCTCTTTCGATTTCATTTTGCAGAATGAAAATATTTTGGTCATACACGATGATTGTGGCTTTAATATTCTACAACGCAGTGTGGGTCTTAATCACATCGAATTAACCAAATGGTTATTGCAACGTCATCGCCCTGATTTGAATCGTAGTCCATGTTCTCTACCCTTGCATATTGCCTGTCTGAAAGGGCACGAGTCATGTGTGGAATTGTTACTGAAATATGGTGCCCGCATTGAATGTGATTCTCGCATGTGTTTTCCCGGTTGCCATAGTCCAAATTGTGAACTTTTTCAGTACAATACCAGTCACTATGAAGATGTCGAATATCGCGACCGTTTCGATAATTCCAAACTACAAAATGCCATTTGTTATGCCATTGATGGTGACCAGATAAATGTACTTAATATTTTAGTTCAAAAATTAGATGATCCGTGGGTGAGATTAAAACGTTTAATATACTTAGACTTTATTTCTGCTTAAAGCTAAAAATATGATAGATTAAATATCATTACATTTACAGATCCCTTTTAGATCAAAAAAACCTGTATTTCATTTGCTTCATATGGCATGCGAACGTGGTGCCTGGAATTGTGTGCAACAGTTAGTAGTAACTCGATCAGACGAAATAAATCTCATCAAAGATGAATACTATCCCATACATCATGCAATATTACATGAACTGCGCTTTTTAGAGCTGCTTATACACCATGGAGCAGTAACGACAGTACGAACATGTACCCAACAATTTACACTTCTACACATGGGTAAACAAATTTACTTAATATTTCTTATGAGATAGCTACATAAAATAATTGTATGTTTTCGTTTTACAGTCATATTTATTGCCCGAAAATCAGCTGAAGATACACTTAGCATTTTAAGACTTTTATTGGAACGTGGATGTAAAGAGCTTATAAATGAACCTGACGTTTTAGGAAATACTCCGCTACATTCATTAATAGTACGCTATGCTTTGGAGGAGGCCAGGTAGGTTTTCTTAGCGATTTTCGAAAATTATATTATAAATCTAAAATATATTTCTTGTTTTTTAGATACGGCTATGATAAATGGAGTAAATGGGATGTTTTACATTTAGTACGTTTTCTTTTGCAACATGGTGCTAAAAACTCCATTAATCAGGCGGGCAATAGTGCTTTAGCTTGTGTTTTTCGACACATCCGTGATATGGAAGTATGTTTTGAACTCTTAAGTATGCTAATTAAGGAAGATGGTAAGTTATTATTACAAACTGTCCATGTTATTAAAATTTAACAAATGAAATTAATTTTTAGGTGATCCAAATATTGTGGGTCGTGATGGTTCAGTACCTATTATGGTCTTATTGATACCTTTAATTAACACCGATACTTTACAACATTATACTCACTCAATGAAGGCAAGTAAACCTAATTGAATGCGTATTTTTGAAAAAAACCTATTTGAGAGGATAATATGATATTTAAATTGTTGAGGAGAACTTTTTCAAAACTGATAAAGTAAATATTACAGCCATAACCAAAATTAAGCCATATCACTACGTAGTAGCACTACGTACTACTTCCGCGCAAATTGATTTTCTAAAACCTTTCATGAACAATTTTACATGAATTCTACATGTTTGGGTACTAAATTTGAAAGAAGGTTAAACCGCAGCCCTGTCGTTGCTTGTAAATATTGTGGGTTAAACAATGAGACTTTTTAAAATAAAAAAATTTCCGATTTTGTATTAAAAAATTTTAAATTCGCCGCAGCAACTTTTTTAACGCTTGGAAAAAAGTGAATTACTTTTTCAACGTTCTTAATAATACTATATGAAATAGATAGGTCCGATTTGAAATTTTCAAACATTTTATAAAAATTATAAGCCACGTTTCAAATTATTCATTTTTCATCTTTTATATTTGCAGGTCTGTTTCGTTAATTGCATTCGTATATTACTACAACACGGTGCCAACCCAAATTGTTCGTATCATCATAACTTGACACCATTACAAGTTTTAGTATTTACTGTTAGTGAAAATTTTACCTTGAGCTGTGACACACTAAGACGCACAAATTTTGATTTTATTAAAAATATTTTACTCTTGCTACTGCAACATGGTCTAGACTGCAATCAAACATATCAAAACATTCTACAGGCTGTAATGGACATGGTACGAAACGTTAGAGATTGTCAAGATATGCTACGCATACACGAGCTAGCTTTAACGCTCATGCAATACGGTGCTGACCCGAATATAGTATTAAGTAGTAAGACCACTGGTGGCGCCATATATTCCAATGAAATAGCCAGATTTGGTGATGCCTTAGGTTTGACGGGTTCCTCAGGGGACAGCGTAAACGGTGGTGGTAGTGGTTCTGGTGGAGTTGTTGGTAGTGGTGTTGTTGGAGGGGGTGGAGTTAGTGGCGTAGATTCGGTAGGAGTTACACGTCAATCTTTGAGTGATACAACATTTCGCAATTCATTTCGTACAAATTCCCGCTATTTATTATTTTATTATATTGTGTTGATCACAAAAAAAGAATTTATACTTAATGATCCCGACTTGAATTTCACTCGTATAATACATTTGTTTTACGCTACAATGCAACATGATGCACTTTACAATTGCCTCAAATCATTGCACAATTTTTATGTGGCCCAAGTGCCCAGCAAAAAGACCGAGCAGCTAATAGCTGTCATTTCATCTTTGTATCGCAAACCTCGCAGTCTAAAACAATTATCACGTCTTGCCATTTATGAATCTTTGGATAGGAAACTTGCACAAAATATAAATAAACTCAAATTGCCCGGTCTACTGAAAGACTATGTCTTGAATTTTGAACTGTAATTTAGAGAATAGTTTAGATTGTTTAACTAAAAGAAAATTTAAAGAACAAAAATAAAACAGCCTTAGGGTAGGAAAAACATAGTCAAACAAAAAACTGATACCTGTTAATAGCAAGAGTAATAGAGAATAGGAAACACTAAAGCCACATAAATTCAAAGAAATTTCTAAATTTGGAGTAGACTTGACTAGATACTCTTTGCAAAATAATAAATATTTACAAATAGGAATGATTAAAAGTCCATATAAAACCAACAACAAACTGCTAATCGAACTCTGAGAAAATAATTAAATATTAATCTCTTTTATATTTAATGATTTTTAAATAAGGGAAATGAAATTGCTCAATTATTATTCAGAATTCTACTCTAATGCCGACTCCATTCATAATTTCAAGTTTCGCGTTCAGGAACTAATTATTATTTTCAAAGTTATATTCAGCCTACCATGGTTCTAAATATGTTTTATGTAGTCATGAGACATTTTAAAAGAATTTTTGTAAGAATAAGGAAACTAATGAAAAGCTTAAACCAAACAAATAACAATCTGAATATAATTAATAATGAAATAGTATTTAAGAAGTCGCTAAAAAATCTTTTTTTAATAGTTTACAATTAATTTTATGAACTTTTTGCATTAGTACTAAATTAGGGGGGGAATCGATAATTTGTAAGTACATATGTAATTAATATTTATGTAGACTGCATACAAAATATGTATTTAAGTGTTAATTTATATACATAAATGCATTTGTATGTATTTAAATCAGGGCAATTTGTAATTTAAAAGTTGTATGTGCCATGTTGAGCAATTTAAACTGATAAATAAATATACACAATATATCTGAATAGCTATTTATAGATTAATAAAAATAAAAAAACAGGAAAAATATAAAATGAATCAAGTTAACATTATAATGTTTTCTCAATTAATTAGTTTAAATTCAAATTGTTTTTCGAGCACTTATTTAAAATTTAAAACAATCGTGAAATAATCTCACAATTATTTACCAGAACACATACATACAAACATAAATACGTATTGCCAAAAAAAATCATAGAAAAATAAATTCATCATTACAACTTTAAAATCTACCAAAATATTGTTATTATTGTTCCTGTTAAACGAAAAAAAATACAAATTATACTAATTACAATACATAAATAAAATCTTAAAAAACTCACTCATAAAATATTAATTTATGAATATCCATACATTTATTAATAATATGTTTATTGAACTTTAAGAAATGCATTGTAATATTGTTAATTTCTTTTTATCTTTAACAAAATTTGACTTTTATAAAAATTTCAAATAATAAAACTGCTGTAGATAAAATTCCGAAACATAAAATAAAAATTAAAGAAATTAATATTATTCAAAGTATGTATATTTTCAGATCAGAACTGTTATTCAACTGATACTACTCGTGAACTGTTGCTTTTTTGGATATTGTAGCATTGGTTTATGTTATTTTATGGTAGTTATAGTTATGTCACAGAATACCATTCCAAAAAAGTCTTCAAAGTCTTCTTTATAGAAATATAATGCTATTATATATATAATAGCATCAGAACGCTTACGACGAATAATAATATAGATATCCACAACAAAATTACTTTTATAACCCTTGACCGGCAATATCTCTTAGAGCACACGATATTAATTTATGATAGATATCCCAGCAAAAAAATTTTGAAGTTGTTAAAGAAGAAGGGATATTTTCATGATTTCTTTAGTAAGTATTCTATTTAATACGTTTTAAATACATGCCTAAATTCTAATAAATTTGTCATCAGTGAAGGCATGAAAAATGAACCCAAATTCACTCATGTAACTCCACTATAGGAATTGTAATATTTTACTGTAATTTGGTATTCTCTTAGGAGATTTAACGAAAACGTGCATTTCATACAATAAAGATTAAAAATTACATTAATTTTTTATTAGATTTTTGTTAAAATTAGTAATATTAAGTCCATTAAAATTAGTAATATTAAGTCCATTAATAAGAGAAGGAAAAAAACCAAGGCTGCTTAACGGATTTTAAAACACAATGGGTATTTTTCCTCTGCATGAATTTAAATCCAATCAAAATCAGTTAGTTATGTTTTATCTTATTCTATTTTTATCAATATCACGCAAAAAAATTATTTAAATATTGATAATTAAATCGAAATACCATTAATGCATTTTTAAATAAATATAGTGCACCAATGAAAATTCGCTTGAGAATCATCGAATATTCATTGGTTATAAGAACTCATTTAAATGACGAACCATTTTTGCAAATACGAACCCATGCATGCCAATGACACGCTAATGTTAAAATCATGCATGTTTCCCCTAAATATGAACCAGTTCATTATCAGTTCAACCCATGCATTTACTACTTTTTTTGCACGTCTTTTTTTGCTGGGATATAGCACCAGTTTATAGTAAAGATTTTAAATAAAAATTAAGAAATAAGAATAAATAAAAAATGTTCAATTCCTCTTTAAAACATATCTATCGTAATAAACTTCTCCAAAAGGGGGTCAAATTTGTTTCCACATTAACAAAATGCAACCCTGTTTTAAAACAGTTTAAATAGCCGTAGTTAGGCAACCCGTTATTAGGTATTTAAAACATATAAACAAAAAAAAAACAAAATATTCTGTATAATACAAAATATTCTGTATAAATAACTAAAAAAAGCTTAAGATTTATGAAGCCGAAAGCAATCATTAAAAGAACGTAATTTTAAACACATATAACACAACAATTAAAAAATATTAAAAATAAAGGAGATAATCTGCGATAATGTATAGTCGTAAATTGGATCGAATGTATCATCCACCATCAAATCTGGATAGATACGATAATGAGGAATACATGAAGAATCCCTTATTGAAATTTCGTTTGGCCGACGTATACGAAAGACGACATCATATATTTCTGAAGTATCGAGCGGCAGAGGTTAAAATGAAATTATCACGTAAACGCTTACCATCTGAATCCGACATAAGATATCTGCCAGAATCCCATTATGTGGACAACTTGCGGAGGTGTGTACGAAAAATTGTGGTTCCAAAAATGTTAACAAAAACCGAAAAACAAATACTAAGCTATGCACCGAAAATTTTAAAGCAAAAACTACCGGATCTAGTAAAATCGTATATGAAGGATGTTCACGATGAGTTTGATCGTTTAATGAAAATTTATAGCATGAAAAGTATTTTGGTTAAACCAGAATTGCCTGGCGAGGACCCAGCTGAGTTTGATTTACCAAAAGCCGACTTTAGGTTTTCGCTACCTGGGAAGACAGAAAATTACTCGAAATTTGTTCAAAACCGAAAGAGAATAAAACAGCGTTTACTAATTCTGCACATCCCCGTAAGATGTGTGTTAAATTCAAGCGAATTGGAATTTCCCGAACTGTTAATTGTATTCGATCCGTTACAATTGAAAATGACGCAAGCTGCCTCGGTACAAATGGGTTTGGGTGAAAGGGAATGTATTTCTCACAAAACATTGCTAAAATATTGTCGCACATCGTTGGACAATAACAACACCTACTTAAGGTGGACTTGGTATCCAAAGTTTATATGCAGTATACGACGAATGTATAAAAAGCGGGTTATTAGTTCTAAGTTATGGCCTCCGACATTTCTATGTATAGAGGGTCTCATTAACCGACAGCTTAATAATTTAAAACAAAGAACTCTAACGGAACTGCTAAAAGTGTGTGCAAATGATCGTAAAATACCCATGTTGCGCTTGAATTTGGTATGTTACGATGAAGATAACAGCATTGATATAAGTCCAAGCATTGAGGAAATACTAGAAGTATATGAGACAATAGCGAGAGAGATAGCCGATGTAGGTAATCGAATGGAACCCATACAACCTCAAATTGATGCTTCAACAGTTAGCCAGGCTGCCGAGTATTTGCGCATAAATCTGAATCTAAATTATCTTAATGAATATATAGAACAACTAAAAGCAGTTATCGTAAAAACATATCAACCGATACAACAATATTTGGTGAAGTACCAAAGAAAGTATTACAATCTCTACAGTCAAACTGTAATGGATGATTTGAACGAGTTCTTATCTGAGCCGCGTGCATTTGAAGAATATTTCACTAAAATTGACACCTACTTTGAATATATTAACTTGTTGCGTAGCGAACCACGGCAGGACTTCTTCGTTTTGGCCATTATAAACAATGAGCCAGCCATAAAACGTCTTCGTCAAATAGCGGATGGGTTAATTTCCCGCATAACGACCGCAATTACCAAACAACATATAAAAACTGAATTAGATATTTGTGATGAATTTCAATATATTAAGGATAGAGCTTTAGAAATACCGAAAACCACCGAAGAGCTTTTGGCGGCTGCAGAATACATGATTTTTGTCAAGAAAGAGAAACTCTTCGAATTAAGAAATCGCATACAATATTGCCTGAAAATAGGCACCAATTTGGTTGAATTGTGTGAGATGTCTCCATATCATTTTGATTTGACCATCACCACCATTAGTTGGTTGTATGACATCAATGAAATCTGTGATTATAATGCCTCTCAGCAGGAGAATTACAAGTGTCTATTTGAAGAGCATTTGCAGGAAGTCGTTAAGAAACTAAATGAAGATATCGAAGAACTAATACCAAAAATTACAATCATTAATGACATGAGTGATCCGAAAAAGTTTAAAGAATATTATATAATGCTGCAGAATTTTATAGATCAATTAAAAATATTCGATGACTACGTGGCCTGGATTAATAAGGAGGAAAAGCTGTTCAAAATTCCACAAACACTATATCCAACGTTGGATGTTTTGAAGACATTTGTTTATCCGTTTGCAACATTAATGAAGTAATTATATAAATAATTTTAGCCATAAGAATGTTCTATGTTTGAAACTTTGCATTTTCTTACTTTCATTTCAGGTTATGCATTAATTGGATGCGTTACCATAGCGTGTGGCTGGATGGGCCATTTGAATATTTGGAACCAAAATTTGTGGAACTTACAACCGATAATTATCTTAAAGAATTCCAAAAGAATCAAAAGTACTACAGGCAAAAAATCAAACAGGATCTAATCGATAATCCAATTTGTAAATTTAAGGTGTGTGTTCAATCAATCAATTATCAATACAATATCGTTGTATTTCACTGATTTTATTATATTTAGGGTCAAACGGAAGATCCTGACCCCGAGAATCATCCGGTTCCCTTGAGACTTTGTAACAAAATGATACAATCAATTAAAGATTTTACCATAGGCGTGTTTATAGTGAATAACATGTGTAATCCAGCCCTTAGAAAACGGCATTGGAAAGAAATGTCGGAAATAGCTGGATTCGATATAACTCCGGATGCTGGAACGACTTTGAGGAAAATCTTAAACTATAAATTAGATTCAAAATTGGATCAGTTTGAAATAATAAGTGTAGGGGCTAATAAAGAGTTGCAACTATGGAATGCCTTACAGTCCATGATTCACGAGTGGGATAACAAGATCTTTCCAACGGGACCATACAAGGAGACAGGAGTACAGATCTTATCTAATCTGGATGATATACAAGCTCTTCTGGATGACCACATACTGAAAACATTGTCAATGCGTGGCTCAGCTTTCATGAAGCCTTGTGAAACCGAAGTTTTGGCTTGGTATGATAAAATAAAAAGAGTAAATGAAACATTAGACCAGTGGGGAAAAGTACAAGCTAATTTCCTATATTTGTTGCCCATATTCTCTTCAAAAGACATAGTAGCTCAAATGCCTGAAGAGGGAAGGCTATTCTTAATTGTGGAACAAACATTTACACGTAATATGGGCATGATATTGAGACAACCCTTAGTTATGGAAACAGCTCCTGCATCTGGTTTACTTGAATCTCTCATCAAAGCTGTAGAACTTTTAGATGATATTACCAATGGCGTTAACAATTACTTGGAAAAGAAAAGATTATACTTTCCTCGTTTCTTCTTCTTGTCGAATGACGAAATGTTGGAGATTTTATCGGAAACCAAAGATCCTTTAAGAGTTTTACCTCACTTAAGTAAATGTTTTGAAGGTATCAATAGCTTGGAATTTGATGAAAAGAAAAATGTCATGTCTATGATTAGTGGAGATATGGAAATTGTTCCATTCGTGGATCAGGTGTCTACAGCTGCTGCAGGTGGCAGTGTAGAAAAATGGCTTCTGGGTGTGGAATATGAAATGTTAAAGGCTGTTCGAGAACAAATGGGAATGTCATTTGAGCACTATCCCAAAGTCGAGAGATATGAATGGGTATTGCATTGGCCACAAATGGTGGCCTTGTGTGTATCACAAATCTATTGGGCTGCCAATGTTCATATTAATTTAAGAAAGTCCGTGACTGATTACCAGGCAATGAACAATTTTTTTGCCGAACTAACCTCCGATTTGCATCAGATTGTGAGTTTAGTCAGATCTACCGAAATAAGCAATTTAAATCGCATCACCATTAAGTCTTTAATAGTCATTGATGTTCATGCCAAAGATGTGGTCGAGGAACTTATACGTTTGAAAATAAACAGTGAGTATGATTTCCAATGGATGTCCCAGTTACGTTACTATTGGGAGGAGGGAGACAGTTGGGTAAGAATCATTAATGCTACAGTACCATATGCCAATGAATATTTGGGCAACTCAGATCGTTTGGTTATAACACCCTTGACTGATCGTTGTTATCGCACATTGGTGGGAGCTTATCAGTTACATTTAAATGGAGCCCCCGAAGGACCAGCTGGCACTGGTAAAACAGAAACCACCAAGGATCTTGCGAAAGCTTTGGCAGTTCAATGCAAAGTATTTAATTGTTCCGACGGCCTGGATTACAAAGCAATGGGTAAATTTTTTAAAGGTTTAGCTTCCAGTGGAGCCTGGGCCTGTTTTGATGAATTTAATCGTATCGAACTAGAAGTTCTTTCTGTGGTGGCCCAACAAATATTATTAATCGTCCAAGCTGTACGTGCCAATGCCGTAAAATTCGTATTTGAAAATACCGAATTAACGTTAAACCCTTCATGTTATGTGTGCATTACTATGAATCCAGGCTATGCAGGACGTTCCGAATTACCAGACAATTTAAAGGTACTATTTCGATCTGTTGCAATGATGGTTCCGGATTATGCAATGATTGGAGAAATCTCTCTTTATTCCTATGGTTTCGTGGATGCCCGTAAATTGGCAGTTAAAATTGTGACTACCTACCGTTTATGCTCTGAACAATTATCTATGCAAAATCATTATGATTATGGAATGAGAGCGGTAAAGACAGTACTCTCTGCCTGTGGCAATATAAAAAAACAATTTCCCAATGAACTGGAAGATATTTTGCTGTTACGATCTTTAATAGATGTTAATTTACCTAAATTCATGTCTTTTGATATTCCACTTTTTGAAGGAATAATCTCAGACATTTTCCCTGGCATTAACTTACCGACCATCGATTATTCACTTATCGAGGCGGAATTTAAGAAATTTTGTAAGGAAATGGTTTTGGAACCAACAGATAGTTTCCTCACCAAAGTTATACAGACATATGAAATGATGATAGTGCGACATGGTTTTATGTTGGTCGGAGAGCCTTTGGCTGGCAAATCAAAAACTTTGGACATATTGGCAAAAATTTTGTCGTCTTTAAAGATCAAGGATCCTGAAAAGAGTCCTTATTTTCAACATGTACAAATGGGTATAATGAATCCAAAATCAATAACAATGAATCAGTTGTATGGTTCGTTTGACCCAGTTTCATATGAGTGGACGGATGGCTTAGTTGCTCGCATATTTAGAGATTTTGCCATGACTCCAACACCAGATAGAAAATGGGTAGGTTTAACTCTACTAAAATCAATTGAATTATTTACCTACAACTTCAAATTTACAGGTAATATTTGATGGTCCTGTGGATGCAGTTTGGATTGAAAATATGAATACTGTACTTGACGACAATAAGAAACTGTGTTTAACATCGGGCGAGGTCATAACCATGACTAAAGAAATGTCTATGATTTTCGAAGTTATGGATTTGGCACAAGCTTCACCGGCCACTGTGTCACGCTGTGGCATGATATACATGGAGCCCACCACATTAGGGTGGCAAGCTTTTGCAAACACTTGGCTTCAGAAATCCGACAACAGATGGGCTGATGAGGAGTCTATACCATACATTAAAGCTTTATTTAATTGGTTGTTGGACCCGGTAAGACAATTAAAAATTGTAAAATAATATTTAATTTCACTTTTTCGAAAATCTTTATAGTGTCAAGAATTTGTTCGGAAAAATTGTACACAATACTTAAAACCAGGAGAATATAATTGTCTTACAACCACCTTTGATATATTTGAAATGTGCCTTAACGAGGCAATCGATGAAAATCCCGAGGACTATCAAAAATATTTACCAATGTATTTTCAGGCAGCCATAATATTTTCCTTAATTTGGGGAGTGGCTGGTATTCTAGACTCAAGGTCCAGGGAAAAGTTTGATGCATTCTTAAGAAAGGTATAACCGAAATTTTATAAAATAAATTTTAAAAACATAATTGTTTTAAATACCAGCATTGGGCGGATGAAGAAAATATTCCCGCAAACGTTGGAAAATTGGAAATAGCAATACCAGTTGAGGGGCTGTTAGTGGACTATATATATATTTTTAAGCAACGCGGAGCTTGGCGCTCCTGGCCAGATATTGCTAAACGTATGGAAGTGGAGGAAACCTCTTTGGGAGTTCAAGTTCCAACCGTGGACACCGCTCGTTACATGCACTTATTAAAAATGCATATTGATGTAAGTTATTATGCAAAATTAGATTTTGCAATTAAAATATAATTTTCAATTTTTTTTAATCTAAGAAGTATTTTACAATTACATATGTATATTTTTAAATTAAAGCATAAAAAGAAAATATTATTGGTAGGCCCTACAGGAACCGGAAAAAGTGTATATGTACAAAACTATCTTATGAATCGACTGAATAGTGAAACCAATGAATCCGCATTTATGACTTTCACTGTTATGATTACCGCCAATCAAACTCAAGAATTATTAATTTCCAAGGTAAGATTCAAGTACACATTGATACTCTATATTAAAAAAGTGCTAAATCAATTAAGTCTAGTTTTTAGAAATGCAAAAACTATTTAACAAGGTTCAGAAATATTCATGAATGAATACTTAAATTGATACATTCATAGTAAACAGACATGAATGAAATTTGCAATTTTCCGACCCTATAATATATATATATATATATATATATATATATATATATATATATATATATATATATATATATATATATATATATATATATATATATATACATATCTGTGTATCCTGGATCTTTATAGATAGCCATGTCTGTGTCTGTCTGTGTGTATGTTGAAATTAATTTTCAGAAACCCCAGATATCTGCGAGATCCAAATCTTCAACATTTCTATCAGACATACATTCGAGAAGAACGCTATTTAAAATCAATAACGGAGATATGAGCAACCTCTGAAAATGTTATCAAAAGTTGAGATTTTTGAAGCATGCTGAGCAGAAAATATAAACAAACAACAATAACACACATAAAGCAATGAAAGAATAACACATTATTATTGGCTAGAAACATGACTTTTTGGCACTTTTTAGTTCTTCAAAAGGTGTGATATATAAGATTTGGCACAGCAGAATATAGAACTCTTACGTGTTTTATGAAGCTATATAATTCAACCCAGTAAGTCCATTAAGCTGCATTTACATCATCTTAGTAAAACTCAATTGCTAAATTTTTAATTGCAACGGAAGAATATTATAAATCTTATAAACGATTTATGAAATTATTTTTTCAGTATGATCATCTTGTTAATATACAAGTTATAACTTATTTTCCTTTTTTGGCTTAAAATTTATATCAGACGTGGATTATGCATTGATGTATCCTTCTCCCTTAAAAACTCACTTTGGTCCAAGATTTAGTTAGCGCTTTATGGATATAGGGTGTCGATATGTATTTATAAAAATCCGATATCTTCAAATAAGCATTTCTTTCTAGTTACAAAAGTGGAAACGAGGTATTTATGGTGCACCTAAAGGCAAAAATACTGTACTTTTTGTAGATGATATGAATATGCCTATAAAAGAGGAATATGGAGCCCAACCTCCTTTAGAACTTCTACGGCAATATTTCGATTATGGCCATGTTTACGATCTTAAAGATAGTACCAAAATATTTATACACAATGTGATATTTGTCAGTGCTTGTGGTTTACCAGGTGGAAGTCGACAAGATGTTTATCCTCGATTTTTGAATCACTTTAATATTTTTTCAATAGACACATTTAGTGATGACACCATGAATCGTATTTTTGTTAATGTTCTATTGAATGGTTTTCGTAAGACGGGGCATGGCAACGATGTGTTTGTGGTGGTCAATCAAATCGTTTCGGCCACCCAACAAATTTACAAAATGGTTCAAAATGAGATGAGAGCTACGCCAGCCAAAAGTCATTATATATTTAATCTAAGAGACATATCACGCGTTGTAACGGGCTGTTCTCTTTTACGTAAGGAGTCTGTCAATGATAAGAAGGTGTTTGTTCGTTTATGGTATCACGAAGCCTTGAGAGTATTCTATGATCGATTAGTGGACGATGGCGATCGAAAATGGATGTTTAACAAATTAAATGAATGCGTGAAAGCAAATTTCAAAGAAAAATTAGAAACTGTATTTGACAATTATTGCAATGAAGCAGCCGACTCCGGTGAGGCTTTATTTACTTTGGATATTGCAAGTCGTGTATTCTTCGGTGTGTATTTTGACGAGGATAGTGTGGCCGATGAGAGAAGATACGAAGAAGTTCCCACCATGGCTGCCCTTTATAAATTAGCCATGACAAGTTTGGATGACTACAACTCCACCAGAAGATCAAAAATGGATATCACATTATTTACCTTTGCTCTACAACATTTGAATCGTATATGCCGCATTATTTCCATCGGAGGAGCCAGTGCACTTCTCATTGGCCTTGGCGGTTCAGGTCGGCAGTCTCTAACGAAGTTAGCCACCAACATGGTGCAAACTTCCTTCTTTCAACCAGAAATAACTAAAAACTATGGCGCCAATGATTGGCATGATGATTTGAAAAGTGTTTTAAAAGAAGCCGGTGGCTTGGACAAACACACTGTGTTTTTAATGACTGAAAATCAAATAAAAATGGAATTGTTTTTACAGGATATAGACTGTTTACTGAATCAAGGCGAAGTGCCCAATATCTATGCCATTGATGAAAAACAGGAAATTTTAGAAATGGTCCGTTTAGCAGCTCAGGGAGGCAATCGCAATATAGATATATCTCCATTACAAGTCTTTTCATTTTTTGTTAACCGTTGTAAAAAGAAATTACATATTGTATTATGTCTGTCTCCAATAGGAGATTCTTTGAGAACACGAGTACGTTTATATCCTTCGCTTGTGAATTGTTGCACCATAGATTGGTATCAAAGTTGGCCGGAAGAGGCTTTGCAAATGGTAGCAAAAATATCATTAGAAAATGTTAATGTTCCCTCCGAGGAAGTAAAACAGGCCATAGTGGAGACTACGCAATATTTCCACACAACTGCGTCGTCAGTATGTTCTGACTTCTGTCAAGCCACCGGTCGATATATATATTTGACCAATGCTTCCTTTTTGGAACTGATACAATCTTTTCAAAAGGTAATTGGGCGCAAACAGCAAGAAGTAATGGACGCAAAAATGCGTTATATAGGAGGTTTAGACACGTTGGCTTCTGCAGCTGACGCTATTTCTATAATGCAAAAAGAATTGAATGATTTGCAACCAAAGCTGTTATCTATGGCGGAAAATTCACGCAAGATGTTACTGGAAATCAACACAGAGAGTGTGGCCGCACAGGCAGCAGCAGAACAAGTGAAAAAAGATGAAATAGTGGCGGGCATACAAGCGGAGGCGGCTCAAGAGTTGAAAAGCGAATGTGAAAAAGATTTAGCCCAAGCCATTCCTGTTCTGGAAGAAGCATTACAGGCTCTCAATACACTTAAACCGGCAGATATTACTCTGGTCAAGTCTATGAAAAATCCTCCATCAGTCATTAAATTAGTAATGGCTGCTGTTTGTGTTATAAAGGGTATACCACCAGACCGTATAGCGGATCCTGCTACTGGAAAAATGGTTAATGATTATTGGGGACCCAGTAAACGAATATTGGGCGATTTAAATTTTCTCCAAGCCCTTAAAGATTTTGACAAAGATAATATAAATCCCGAAATAATGAAAAAGATACGTAAAGATTTTATACCTCACAAAGATTTCAATCCAAAAATTGTTGCTAAAGCTTCGAGTGCGGCCAAGGGTCTATGTCAATGGATTATTGCTATGGATCTTTATGACAATGTGGCAAAAATTGTGGCCCCAAAAAAAGCCAAGTTAATAGCAGCCGAAAAAGAATATGCCGATACTATGACATTTTTAAATGAAAAGCGAGAACTGACTGCTGCTTTGGAGGCTAAGGTAGCCAAACTCAATGAGGATTTAGACAAGGCAAATCAGGAAATGAGAAGAACACAAGATGAAGCTGATCTTTGTGAAAGTAGACTCAGTCGTGCTAAATCCTTGATAGATGGTTTGGGCGGAGAAAAATCCAGATGGACAAAAGCAGCTGAAGATTTACAAAGCCTTTACGATCATTTGCCAGGAGACATTCTAATATCATGTGGAGTGATAGCGTATCTCTCAGCCGTTAACTATAAATATCGTTCTATGTGTGTGGAAGACTGGTATCAGAAGTGTGTTAATCACAAAATTCCCCTTTCTGAAAATTACAGTATTACCAAAGCTTTAGGTTTAGACATCACCATACAAAATTGGAATATCAATGGTTTACCCAACGATGTCTTTTCCACTGAAAATGCTATTATTTCAGCCAATTCAAGTCGTTACAGTCTGTTCATAGACCCCCAGGGGCAGGCCAACAACTGGATTAAAAATACCGAACGTAAAAATCGTTTAAGTGCAGTCAAATTTAATCAGGCTAATTACATGAAAATCATAGCCGAGTCCATGGAATATGGTTATCCGGTTATAATAGAAAATGTACTAGAGGAACTAGAGGTACCATTAGATCCCATACTATTGCATAAAACATTTACGCAAGGCGGTCATCAGTTTATAAGCTTAGGCGATAACATTGTACCGCTTCATAAAAACTTTCGTCTGTACATGACTTGTAACTTAAGAAATCCTCACTTTCTACCAGAAACATTCAACAAGGTCACTATTATAAACTTTGCTCTAACTCAGAGCGCCCTAGAGGACCAGTTGCTCAGTATAGTAGTGGCCAAAGAAAGGCCAGATTTACAAGAATTACGTATGAATTTGACAGATGAAGCTGCCAAGAACAAAGCAGCCTTAGTGGATGCTGAAAATATGATATTAAAAACATTAACATGCTCCGAAGGGGATATTTTGGAAAATGAAGGTGCTATTCAAATTTTGGGAGAATCTAAAACTTTGTCGATTGATATTGTGGCCAAACAAGAAGCCTCTAAGGAAACATCTACCAAAATAGAAGCATTTAGACTTAACTACAAACCGGTAGCCATACACTCCTCTATACTCTATTATTCTATAACTGATTTGCCCAACATCGATCCCATGTACCAATTTTCACTAAACTGGTATATAAATTTGTATATGTATTCCATAGAAACTGCCAACAAGTCCAAAGAACTACCCAGGCGTATAAAATTTCTAGTAGATGCAGTGACTAGAAATCTATACAACAACGTTTGCAGATCAATATTTGACAAAGATAAATTACTATTTTCCTTCATATTATGTTGTCGCATCTTGCTGGGCAATAATCAAATAGAAATGCGTCATATGGTACATTTGTTAACATCAGCCAAAGAATCAGGACATGTTCCCAAAAATCCAGACCCCTCTTGGATTACTGAAACCATATGGGCAAACGTACTACGTTTAGAAGAGTTACCGGAACTTAAAGGCTTAGTAAAGTTTTTCCAAAGCAATCTTGGTGCCTGGAAGAAAATATATGATCATGCAGAACCTGAATTACAACCCCTTCCAGAACCTTGGCACAACAAGACTACCCGTTTTGAAAAAATTATTATATTAAAATCTTTACGACCTGATAAGGTATTTCTGGCCATACGTCACTTCATAGCAGCCGAAATGGGCTCACAATTTGTTACTCCCCCAGACTTCGATATAAGTAAATCATTTATGGAGTCAACGGCTTTAACTCCTTTAATTTTTATACTTTCTCCTGGTGCTGATCCCCTAGGGTCTCTATTGTCATTTGCGGAAAGGACTGGCTATGATGAGACTTTCCAAAGTATTTCTTTAGGACAGGGACAGGGTCCAATAGCTCAGAATCTCATAAAAGTAGCTCAGGAGTTGGGCTATTGGGTGTGTTTACAGAATTGCCATTTGGCAGCTTCGTGGATGCCCAAATTGGAATTTTTATGGGAAAATATGGATACGTTTAATACCTCGCGTAAGCAAAGCACAAATAAATATGTAAACAACCATAATGTTAATTATAACTTTATACTTTGTAGCCGGATTTCGATTATGGCTAACTAGCTATCCCACGCCTCAATTTCCCGTTGCCTTACTGCAAAATGGTGTCAAGATGACAAATGAGCCGCCCACCGGCTTAAAGGAAAATATTATGCGTTCGTATAACTCGGAGCCGATAAACGATCAATCATTCTATACGGGTGTCCCGAAACAAGATCGTGCTTTTACTCGCCTGCTTTTTGGTATATGTTTCTTTCATGCGGTTGTCCAAGAGCGGCGCAAATACGGACCTTTGGGTTGGAATATTGCATACGGATTTAACGAATCTGATTTGCAAATATCAGTTTTGCAATTAAGGGTAAGTCTTCTAGAATAAATTACAAAACAATGTTTAAAATTGTCTACCCATATTTAAATAGATGTTGCTAAATCAATACGAGCATGTGCCATATGATGCCATATCATACTTAACAGCAGAGTGTAATTATGGAGGTCGAGTTACAGACACTTGGGATCGTCGTGCTATTGTCACAATTCTGGCCGATTATGTTAATTCCGAGGTGGTATCAAACAACCGCTATAAATTTGCTATAGAAGATAGATTCATTGTCCCTCGTAAAACCGAACATCGTGAGATTTTACGATATGTCGATGAAAACTATCCCAGCTTGGCGGCGCCCGATGTGTACGGCCTCCATGCTAACTCGGGCATAACACGAGACTTACAAACTACCAAAACTTTATTGGATTCAATGATTTTAATATTGGGCAGTGAAGTTACTTCAGGTGGCGGCATAGGCCAAAGTGCCGAACAATTGTTATTGGATACCGTTAAAGAAATTGTAGCCGAGATGCCGCAAAATATGGATATTGAAGCAGCCAAAAAGAAGTATCCCGTGGAGTATAGTGAATCTATGAATACAGTGATCACACAGGAAATGGAACGATTTTTGAAGTTGCAATTAGAAATTCGAGCTTCATGTCGTGATGTGGAGAATGCAGTTCACGGTATTATTGTAATGACCCCTGAGTTGGAAGCCGTTATAACCGCTATCAAGTTAAATCGAATACCAGCGAAATGGATGAAGAAATCATATCCTAGTTTAAAGCCATTAGCATCTTATATTCAGGATTTATTTAAGAGAATCAACTGGTTGCATCATTGGTAAGTAATTGTTATAAGCTCTTGATGTTTTTACGACACTTGACGAATTTTAATATAACGATTTTAAAGGCATCATCATAGCAAACCGCCCACATTTTGGATATCGGGCTTCTTCTTTACACAAGCTTTCTTGACAGGAGCTATGCAGAATTTTGCAAGAAAATATAAAATACCAATTGATACTCTAACATTTGATCATGAAGTCCTCAATGAAACCTAGTAAGTTTTGCTTCATGGGGATAGACATAGTCAGAAGTTGTAAATATAATCAATTGAAATATCTTTTTAGCAAAGACAGAGCTCCCGAAGATGGTGTGTACATAAATGGTTTATTCCTAGAGGGGGCACGCTGGAATTGGGAGGAAAATATACTAGATGAACAATTGCCTAAAGTCTTGATTTACTCAATGCCAGCCATTTACCTCAAACCGACAATAATTAGTGAGCTACAAGAAGGCAACCGCTATAAAAGCCCTTTATACAAGACGGCCGAACGTAAAGGCACTCTTTCGACTACGGGTCACTCTACAAATTATGTTATACCCTTGCTGCTGAACACTAAACTTAAAGCATCGCATTGGGTTAAACGCAGTGTGGCTTTAATATGCCAAACAAATGATTAAAATTTATATTTTCAAACAACTGTTTATATATTATATTTACGATAACATTTATTTTCATTCATTAACTTGTATAATGTTCATCATAAATAAATACATATATATTTTCGATTAACAAATAACTGATTTTAAAACTATAAACATAAGATTTTTAATTTTCTTTTATTTTCTTTCTGCAATTAACAAAGTTAAAAATTTCATTGCTATCCTCAAAAGTTTACAAGATTAAAAGATAATATATTATCATGGACAAATGAGCTTCTTACAAAGAAAAGAAAACAAAGCTATATAAGGATACAAATACAAAACAAAAATAAAAGAAAAATGTATGAATAAAAAGATAAATCTCAAACATAAATGCTGCAACAGCTGAAAATAAGAAAATTCTTTACATTTCAATCGAAAAAAAAACACATTTTTTGAAAATAAAGCAATTTCGGGAATAATTTTAACAAAAAAAAAACAACGCTCAAACACCCAGTCTCATTTTCACTAAATTCTTACAATGGTTTTAAATCATTATATCGACTGCGAGGGAACAACAAATTTATTGGGTACCACAGGCAAAATGTCGAAGATTCGAAACATCATCATCATCATCGTCACCTGAATCGGTATGTATATCCGGTACCGAAGAATCATCACTACTTAAATTATCACTGTCTGAATCATTTCCATCACGATTTCGATTGCGGCGATTGGCACCATGACGACTTAAAATTTGTCTTATGAAAAATTGCATCTGACCATCATCAAAATCAATACCGTCGTTTAAAGCAGTACGCCGTATATTACGTCTTACACAACTAGTGAGCTTGGTCAAATCAGGTGGATGCTAAAAGTATAAGAGACGGTGGAATATGTGTATGTGTAGTGATGTGTAATTATAATATGTAATTGTAAAAGTCTTAATCCAAACTGAAACAAAAAAGACCAAAATCGTATCGTAACAAAACAAAATACAATTTTAAATCTTTTTAGTAACCAAAACTATTTATAAATCATTGATTTCTAACAATTTGTAAACGTTTAAAGTTAAACTTCAGTGGATAAGTAGATAATTTATTTAGATATTTACCTTTTCTCCATTTGGAGTCCAGATTTTTATATTGTGATCAAGGCCAGATGTGGCCAAAATAGGTGTATTAGGATGAGGTTCCAAGCAATTGACCTGAATTAATAATTTTTTATATTTTTGTTTTCCTTAAAACACTTAAATATATTTAACACATATATACATAAATACATACGTATTTACACAAATACCATAACGAAAAATACAAACGAAAAAATTAAAAATTAAAATGTACATATGGATATGTATTTTTTAGTGTGCAATTTAATATAAACATATGCAATTGTTATAAAAGCATTAAATGAACATAAAATAACAAATCAATAAAATTAAGAGCAACATTAATAAACTTTATTTTAGTACTTTCATTTTACCATTAGTACAGCATTATACCATTCATAAAACTGTATATATTTAGTATTTTTATTTAAAATTACTATTTCAGAATATAAGCTGTAAATTTATCTACAAACTTGAAATTTCAGAAAATCAATTGAAATTTCTAAAATATAATTAGAATTTTCTGAAATTAAATAGTAATTTCTGAAATACAATTAAAAATGGTGTAGTACTGGAACAGCCCAAATATTTACAACTATAAGTTAGAGAACTAAAAGCAGATAAATAAACAGGAAGGATTGTTATATTCGGATGTGCGGAATCGTTCACTATATTAATATTTATATAATAATCACAATCGGGAATGTCAAATGAGGCAAGGAAAACATTTTCGTCGTATTTTTCAGCAAGCACATCTTCCACCGCTACGTGCAATCGTAAGCTTTGTTGTGTCTTGTATATTTTGCTCATATCTCCGTTATATATGAACCATAAATATCAAAAAATGTATATCACGAAGAAATCTAGAAATTTTTTAACAAACATGCAGACATATATATATATTGTTCTCAGTGCGATTAGATAAATATACTTTTCGGGATTTTATAAATGAAAAGTTATTCAATTATATGGATCAAAATAAAAAGTATACTGATAATATATTCTTTATAGGATCGCACTTGTGTATATAACACAGTTATATACAAGGAGTTTTTAAAAGCGAAATTTTTTATCAATACTCTCTGACACATTTTGTGATATTGCAGTTTAATAAAATGCCAGATGTGTAATGTTTGAATTTATATTTTAAGTGAAATTAAGTATATGTAAAGCATTGTTAATAATTATACGCAAAAGCAAAATATAAAATATATAGTAATAAAAATATTTTTTGTAATAAAATAAAATAAAAATATGCCCAAAATTCCATCAATAAAATGAGTAATAAGTAATGTATGTGTTTGCCAATCTATCTAAGTTAGTGAGCCACGTACTTATTATTCTTAATGTTTTTATGCATGCAGTAATATTTATTTTCTCACTTACCACACCAGCTGTATCACCTGGCATAAAATTAAGTATGGCTTCAGTGTTTTTATCCCAATAAAATATATTACCGCAGTCACTGCCACTTATAACGTATTCACAATTTGGACCAAAAAAATTTACACCTTTTATGGTTTTCTGATTGCTGCAAAAAAATAATAAGAAAATTTCAATAATTATCTTGGTTTAATTTTAATTTATTTTCACTTACAAATGGCCCTTGTACGAGTGTAAATATTCTCCAGAAACATAATTTTTATTATCGAATAAATAAATATTATCTTCACTATAGGTGGCCAATATTTCGGTACCGGTATTATTATATACACAACAAGTCACATTAGGGAAATGAGTCTAGGATAAAAAAAATACAAAACAAAAAATTAATACAAATGTTAATTTTCATTAAAACTCTTTAGGAAAAAGACAAAATTAAAAATGGATACTCACTCCTAGTATATGTTCTGGTGACATTGTGTGAACCGGTTCTCGCATTGATCTCTTATCGTAAACGCGCACATATTGATCGCTACCACTGACACAAATTTCGGGAGCAAATGGGTGATGCGAAATACTAAACAGACGAACTTTTCGTGTTTTTTTTTTTGTCGAAAATACTTTTAACATATCAACTTTCGGAACATCCTCCCTTAAATCTTTACTGCAAATACAAGCGTCTTCACCAACACTTATAATTTCCGATGGATTGTCCGGGCAAATGACTAGTTTATGTACAGCTCCGGAGTGCGAATAAAGATGTGACACCTGTACCTTGCCACCAGATGGCGGTACAATTGAACGTCTGACTTTTCCATCACGCCCTGCCGATATGATATCAATGCACGAAGAGGAAGGTAAAAATTTCGATTGAAAGATGTTGGCACTATGACCTGATTTCCAAACATGTTTCGTTTTATTGGCCGCCCAATCCCAAACAATAAGGCGTGCATCATCCGAACCTGTTACCAACAAATCGCCGTTTTTATTGAAATTAACACAGTTGACACAACCATTATGTTTGCGCAAGACATGTGAGATTTTCATGCGTTCAACAATGTGACGTGAGGCATAAAAGCGATTTTTAAACCCGTAAGAGAAACCATTGCGCAAAGAAGTTTTGCCATCACCACTTAAACCATGTTCACGACGCATCAGTTCATAACTGCCGCACCAAGTATAAGGAGGTTTTTGTTTATTCAACACTTTGTTAACTTCTTCGTCTTTCTCCTTAAGACGATTCGAGTCGGCTGAATCATTTGAGGCAAAATCAGGACTTAAACGATCTGCAAATAATGACGGTTCAAAATCGGTATCATCGTCATCGCTGTCAGATGTACTATCACTTGACGAGCTACTACTTGAAGAATCGGGGAAGTTAGGTAACTAAAAAATACGTAAAAAAAATCATTCGTATGCTAATATATAAGGTTATATAAACAATAATAAATATAGTTAAAAGAAATCCAGTGTAGGTTAACCAATAATACAATAGTATTTTCGAATATTCTTACCTTTCAACAATTTTAAGCTTTAACAAGTAGGAAAGTATAGCGGACATGGCGGACTATATGTTACCCTACACCATGGGTATATTTTAAAAATAATTTATTTTTCATAAAGAAACATTTATGTTGAATTTTAACTTAATTCCGATGTATTTAAGCAATTTATTGATAAAAAACTAAATTTCTAAAAGAGGCTTTATATAGGAGTCAAATATGGGCCGATCCTCAACAAATTGGGAAGGGGATGTAATTTTATATAAAGGTTAGTTGTGCAGAATTTCATCGCGATACTAATGGTCCGATCATTATAAAAATTGGCATGGTCATTTATGCCAATATAGAAGTATATTTGACGTAGTTATGAGTTAAAAACCCTAAATCGGAAGGTAAGGTTGTATGAGGGCTAGGTGAATTAATGGACCGATTTCAACCATTTTTAATAGGCATCGTCCTTGTGGCAAATTGTATGGTCCAAATTTTATCAAAATATCTTGAAAAGCGATATTCTTGAAGTTTTCAGTGTATGTTTTCCAATATCTGGAAGGAACTATAGGCTACTTTTTTTTTTGAAATTGCAAGTGGGAGGAATGCCACTCCCACTTCTTCAAAAGTCGAAAATCTCGAAACACAGTACAAATAGAGACCTCAAATTTTTTATGAACAATTTTGACATCGATATGATTATTTGGTGGAAAAATTAAAAAAATTTTTTATATTTTGATTGTTGAGCCATTGTTGGCAAAATATGTATTAAATAAAATATGTATGAGAATTACTATTTAAATGCATATAATAGAATCTGCATAAACAGTCAAATAAAGTATTGAAATCAGGAAAATAGTAAAAATTGGTATTTAAAGTCCCTATACCTAACGAAGAATCAACTACTAATTACAAAAATCTCCAATTAAAAAATATTTATTATAAATGTACTCACAGACATATAAGGCGAAGGCGGTGAAGGTTCTTCAACTGCATTATTATTGGCAGGTGATACAGGATCTTCGGCAGCATTGACTGATTCCTGGCTTTCGTCCTGTTGCGGTTCTTCAGGCTGAGTCTCTGCTTGATGTTTGGGTGACGAACTGGAAGAGGAAGATGAAGATCGATCAGCCACACGATAATTACGGGATCGATTACGTTTATGACGTTTTATCAGGTTTGTGGAC